CGTCCCCCGCCCGCGCGCTGGCCACGCCCACTCCAGGGCCCGCCTACGGTCCGCCCCGTCCGGGGACGCCGTAAATCCCTCCGCCACCACCGTCCGAGTAGGCCCCTCTCCCCCGGTTCTACCTCTCTTGCGCTCGCAGGAGGCGGCTGCAGCGTCGCGAAGCCCGGAGTCTGGGAGTTTGGGCTCCCCTGGGGTCCGTCGGCAAACGGTGCGGGGAGCGGACAGGGACTATCTTTTAGCGCGGAGGCGCACGTGGGTTGAAGTGCATAGCATCCATGACGCCAGCGGGAAAGGACCGTGAGATGGAAAAATAAGACAGAGCGGTAATGGCCAATCGGAGGGCGCAAAAGCCTGATTGGCGGTGCCACCGGCCATTCGTGAAGAGGCCACGCCCTCACTCTACGGACAGCGAAGAGGCGGGACTCTCCAAGAGAGAGGCCACGAGAAACGGCGGGGGTGGGCTTTGCAGTTTCATTCTCAGGTTTGCGTGGGCGCCCGCGCGGCCTCTCGGGCGTCGTCGAGTCTGCGTTCCTAGGGCTAGCCCAGGTGCTGGGTGTTGCGAGCGGGCGAACGAATCAGACCCATTTCACGGGCTGGGTAACTAAGGCCAGCTCTGTTTCAGGGTCAGAGAGCCCCACGTGGGACTTGCGCTGTGCCTCTGACTCGGTGGGTCTCAGTTTCCCCATCTGTAATATGGAATTTGGACCTGAGTTTGAACAGGACTAAGGCCAGACCAAGCCTTCTGATTCTCAGTGATCTGTCTCTTTGTAGGTCCAGAGTTCCCCCCGACAGCCAGGGGCTCCTCAGCTTTTGAACACCACAGACCCTATAGGAGTAATTATTATAAATTAACTAAAACAAACAGGCTCTTTCATGGCTCCCTGTGCCTCCAGAGAAATAGTTACACTGCTTCCAGGCCTGGGAGAGGCTACCATCCCCCTGGCCCCTGGACACAGGGCTTCCTCACTTCCGGAACCTGCCAGGCTCATTCCCACCTCTGGGCCTTTGTCCTTGTAAACCCCTGGCTGCAATGCTCTTCCACCTCCACCTGAAGCCCCTGAATCAACCTTAGTTCAGGAAGTCCAGGGAGCTGGGCTAAAAGGAAGGAAGAAAAGGGGGAGTAAGGGGGTGAAGACCCAGGGAGAGGCAGGGGCTCCTAATAAGGTCACAAGCCACTCCTAATACACCTGAAGTAGGCTGACTCTCACCCTGACACTGTCTTCCTTCTGGCCCAGAGAGTCCCCCACATGCCCCAGGTCTGGGAAGGGGAGTCTTGGGGTCTGGGTTTGAATCCCTCATCCTTCCCACCTCACTGTGACCTTGGGCAAATTCTTGCCACACCCTGGGTCTCAGTTTCTCCATCAGGAGAATAGAAGGGTGCAGTGATGGGTACAGGGTAGGCCACCGCAGCTCCTGCCTGCCTCCCTAGGCCTCTTCACACTAATGGACCTGGGACTCGTAAGTGAAGGCCCCATAACCCACAGCCCTTTCTGGTGGCCCAACCCTGACCCCACAGGTCTGTGGCCTGTTCTGCTTCCCCAGCCTGGGAGTGGTTTCTGGAGGACCAAGCTGGGGCTGAGGGTAGGCCAGACTCCGAAGGCTATGATTTTAAACTAGAGAGTCTAGCCAGTGTTCCTGGGGTAGCCCTGGACATACCCCCAGAAGTGGGTGATGGACCATGCAATTACTGAGCACCGATTATGTGCCAGGTTTAGTGTTTAACATTAGGGCACAGTGATACCTTTGATCTGTCCAGTCCCTGTCCTCCAAGGCAAGCTGGGCCATCAGAGCCCCCCCCCCTTTATTTCCAAATATAGCACTTTCCATCTATACATTTGACTCTCAGGTCCTCATACATACCTGGGTGATTAAACCCATTGTCCAGATGAGGAAACTGAGGCTCAGAGAGCTCCTCCCTGGGGGCCAGGCCAGTCTACCCTAGGGCTCACACCTGCCAAGAGGCCTTCCTGGCACCCACAAGCCACCATTGTCCTCCCTGGGGAGGCCTGGTGTGGGGCTGAGTCACTGGGTGGAGCAGCCTGTGGGGGCCCCCAATAGGCTGCTACCTCTGCCCAGCCTCAAGCCTCGGACGCACTCTACAGGGTCCTGGCACAGGGACAGGCAGCCATCGGCTGGTACCAGGGGTCCTCTAGGGAGGCCCACAGCCCACCCCCATCCACCTGACTTTGGCCTTTGTTATCTGGATGCCTTGGGCTGGAGCCAGAGAGCTGCCTCCCCCCCCCCCCCCCCCCCGCCCCCCCCCCCCCCTCCCCCCCTCCCCCCCCCCCTCCCCCACCTGGCCTCCTTCCACCCCAGCTACACCTACTGTGCTTGCCCCAGTAGGGGACCCGGTGGTGAGAGAGGTCACCCCATTTCTGGTTGGAAAACTAATGCCATGTCCTGGCTGGTGGACCAGCGGTTAGAGCACAGACCCACGTTACCGAAGGGTCTCAGGTTAGATTCCCACCCAGTCAAGGGCATGTACCTTGGTTGCGGTTTGATCCTGGGCCCTGGTCAGGGCTCATGCTAGAAACAACCAATTGATGTGTCTCTCACTTCCATGTTTTTTTCTCTCTCTCCCCCTCCTTTCTTCCACACTCTCTAAAAAAATCAATGGAAAAAAGTATATTATGGATTAGGAGGGAAAAAATTAATGTTAAGGACAGATTCCCACGAGTGTGTGTGTGTGTGCGGGGGGGGGTGTCAAGGGATGTGGCATGGTCGTAGAACCTGCTAGAAGACAGTCCCGGTATGGATTTGGGCCACGATTGTTCACGGGGAGAATGTAATTGGACTTGGGATTTCAGGGCCACCCTCCTGACATCTGTTTTCATTTGTCTCTAAAGTGGGTACCTTCTCCTGGAGTGTGAATAGACACCCTCACTCTCCCACCCCACCCAGCTCCTCTCTGCATTTCGGATGTGGCAGGAGGGAGAAGCACTTATCACTCAAGCTAGACCCCTCACACACACCTCACTTCCTCATCCCAGCTTGTGCTGACAAGTCCATGTTCACCATGATCCCCCCACCCAGGCCTGGATCAGGGCTCATTCATTCATTCATTCATTCTCCCTGGGAGTTCCTTCTGGGCCTGCTGGTTGGGCCTGGGGTTGGGGGGTCTCCCTGGAGATGGGATGGGAGGCTTATTAACCTCTCCAGATGAGGGAGGGGATGCTGGCCATAGTGGGTGTTCAGTGGATGGTGAAGCAGCAGTTCCACCAGCTGCTCCCCAGGCCTGACTTCCCTGGCACTCCCACGTGTGAATATAAGGAAGGGAGGGGACCCAACAATGCTTTGGCCCCTGCCCTCAGCTTGGACTTGTACTGGGGAGCAGGTGGCCCATGAGAGCTGGGCAGGGGGCTCTGGAGGGTGACCAGAGCTGCAGACTCATTTCTCCCATTGCCAGGTGTCATAGAGATCCAGAAGATTCTCTGAATGTCTTCTACAGGACCCTGACTCTCTGGGATGGATCCCCTGACCCAGAGACACTGGGTGTGACCAGAAGGAGGAGTGAAGTTGATGGACAAAGAGAGAGGAGCACTCTAGGCAGGGGAGAACAGGGGCAACGGTAGGGAGGTGGGACTGCACAGGGTGTATTTAAGGAAGCGATGAGGCGGAGCCCCCAGAATGGAGGCAAAGGAGCCAAGGTGAAAGGGGAAAGGCCTCGGATACCACAGGGAGGGGTCAGATCTTCATGGTGAGGACATTAGGGAGCCATGGGGGAGATTTGAGCCTGAAAGGGACCTGATCCCAGTGGCTGTGTGGGGAGGAGGCGGGATGGTCACTGGGGGAGAGAAGGGCTGGCCCTGGTCAAGATGAATCAGGTGAATTTGGGATACATTTGAGGGGGAACTGAAGGGTCACCCTTGGGGTAGGGAGGAGGAGACAGCCACCAATCAGTGTGGGGCTGGGACCTGCAGGAATTAATAGTGATGCCCTTCTCCTAGCAAGGACGTCTTGGGGCCAGTGATAGTTAATGAAAAGGGGTGGTCAGGAGGGGTGTGTGGCAGAGGGTGGTGAGTGAGTGAATGAATGGATGGGTAGATGAATGAATGGATGAATGAACAAACAGTGATCTGAACTAAACCCCAAACCCAGACAGAGCCTGACCATGGCACTGCTTCTTTCCCCTGGACGCCCTCACCTACCCTGTGAACATCCATCCTCAGGGCCCGAGCCACCAGCTGAGGGCAGACCCTCCCCGCTCCTGGTCTGGTGCCCCAGGTGGCCCATAGCTCCTGAGTCAGGGGCCCCA